TCTGTTTGTCTTGCTGGTTTTGTGGTTTTGTATGGCTTATTACGCAATTGTATACCAAAACGAGTGAGAAGCTAAACAAAATAAAATAAACTAGAAAATAAGAATAAGAAAACAATTCATACTGTACTTTTGTTAACTCATATAAAAACTCGTTTAAAACATTAATCACGACTTCATTTGGCTTTTCATCAGCAAAATACAAGACTGCCCATTTTTGAATATCGGGTACTGTATAAAAGTGGTCACGAATCGCCCATTTACCGATACTAACATGTTCCACAACGTCCTCTTGCTGCTGTGCGCGATATATTACTTCGGGCGCTGGTAAAATACGAGCTAACAGAAAGAAAACACTTTAATGGTACTTAAACGACGGAAATTAATATTATATCGTTGATTTCCATCATTTCTTCTGTATCAACAACAATATTTAAGTCTTTTAAATATGGATCTGATTGAAACCGACGGTCATGAACATAACCCATTATTTGTTGGTATCTCGCATTGGGTCCAGCACTCGACATTGTTGTAACAAGTTTTCGTTGAACACTATCTAATGGTCTGAAACATCGTTGCCATTCCACGAGCTACAACATAAGAAGTAAAAACGAATTTAATTTGGTTAAAAAATATCTTTACTTACTTTAACTATCTCCATTGGTAACGAATTGGCTTGGTTTCTTGAGCCGGCCATTCCTAGAAAAAACCGCAAATGGCGAGAAAAATAAAGGCTAGAACGAGAAGAACTCACCATTGATACATGGTAAATCTGGATATTTTAATGTTCTTTTATCTACAATATACACATAAATAAGTTTTGTGTGACATAATAATTTTATTGACTTACATTTTTTAGCAAAATAGTCAGCAACTGTCATTTCTTCGCCTAGTGTACCCCTTTCATCGTCACTGCCAACGTTAAATTTAATTTCAGATGCTGGACGACCAAATGTTAAGTAAGTGTGATTAATCTAGTATTCTTTGAATTTAAAAGATGTTCTTGCCGTTATTGTCTAGTTGAAACGTTCCATACCGGTCGAAATATACGTTATCGAATTCGTAAATTCGAAAAGTACACTCATTTTTCTGTTTACTTATTGTCAATCTCGCACACTTATCGAAAGAAAGCTTACTCATCAGTATTGGAGTCATCTTCAAAGTCGAATGCTCGACTTTGTTTTGCAGCCAAATGTGCATAATGTACTGATGTAGGAATACTAACAGATTTTGAACAGCGAGCATCAGTATGACATAACTAGAAAGAAGACGTTTAATAAAGTATGTTCAAATAAAGGAATGTGTCTTTCACACTCATATCCCAAAAGTAAGTTATTGAATTTTATCAGACGTAAAACCGATTTCATCATGCAGCACATGATACAGTGCTGGTCTCGACGTTCCCTTACTTTAAAATTTAAACAGATAACTTATCAATAATAGAGAAATCATAAACCACCTTATAATGAGCACTTACATTGCCGCATGTGAATTGAGATAAAATTAAATTGACTGGGATGTGTTATTTCTCTATCAATAACTGTACCAGTCTGAACATTTTTTGTTTGTTTATCCTTATAAACAAACAAACGTGTGTTATGTGGTTTTTTACAACAATAAATGTTAATTTTGGTGTTGGTTTCTGACCATAAACAACTAGAACAAAGGTGAAAGCTGAAAGCAGTAAAAAGAATAATGTAGGGTAAAATACGAGTACATACGTTTACACATATCCTTTATACTTTTTACTTCATTATCCAACAGTATTTGAAATGGTACTCCTCAGGATTTTTTCGAAAAAATGTTTTCTGTCAAAAATATACAAATGACATGTCTATAGATTCAGTGACGAGTCTGCTATTATTTTTGTCAAAATATGTAACAGAAGAATGAAAATCGTAAAACACGAGCGCGTTTAACCATAGGATTCAAGAGATTTTCATACTTCAAGAGGCAGTAATCGTAGTATGGACTATCGAGTATACTCATAAATTTCATTTTTAATGGGCATTAATTTGATATATAATACTCTGTGATATCATTTGTAGTTTGAGCGTATCCCCCTTGAAAAACATTTTTTCCGACCCTGTATCATAAGCGTTTCGGGCCCGATTTTGTATACAACACTATAGCTCATTCACCATTCTACAATAGGTCAAAATAACAGTTTCCGTTCGGCATCTTCGGTTAATCGCCAATAAAACTACCTCCGATCGGTTAATAAGAGCCTGGTGTGTGACGGGTAGAGATCTGCAAGACTAAGCTTTTTTGGTCTCGATCCCATGAAGAAAAGAAATTTTGATTCCGGTCCTGGTCCCGGTCTAGCAGAAAAGAACTCGTTTTTGTGCCGGTCCCGTAGACCCATAAATATTTTTTCAAAGTAGCGTTGATAGTTTGAAAGTCAGTGCGTTGTAATGTGGCTCGTGGAACAGCGTGCGTGAGTGGTATTACATTCTATGTTCTTTCTCGCAGAATTATTATGCGTTTTTAAAAACGGTGTGTGTGTGCGCGATACTTATAACTTTTTAACCATGATAGCTAGCGACCTGCAGTTTTCAGATTCTGAACTAGACACTGAGGGACGTAAATCTATGAGAAAATCAGGGCTCCTAATCAGCTTTAGCATGGTGTATCATTCGAGACAAAATTCAAAAACTTACCGTTCCCAAACCACACTATGAAATCCAATTCCAAATAATACCAGTCAATAGCCAAAACATTTCTCTTCAAAACTACATAAGGCCCAGGTCTCCATCTCCTTTGGTTTCGGAGATACAGACGTGTTCTGAGGACACACCTGTCTCGTTCCAGACATGTCTGGGAATCTCAGAAACATGTGGATCATAGGTAATCAACCACGCTGATCATCGTGGCGATGTTTGCTTCATTCCCCACTAAATTACAACCTCAGAAAAGTCAATTTGGCGAAAATCCGGTTTTTCGCCTGTTACCGTCAAAAATTAAAAACCATATATTTCACTCATTTCTCGTCCAGAAAAGCTCACATTTTCAGGGAATTCTCAGAATAGATCATAGAATGTAGATCGAGCCGAAAAAGTCGGATCTAAACTTTAATTCCGTAGGAGGTTTTCCAGAGATCCTCTAAAAACTTGTATGCATAAACTGAAAACCCTTTGTAATGTTTCCGACTCGATCTACATTCTATTACCTATTCTGAGAATTTCCTGAAAATGATTAGACGAGAATCTGAGAAGACTTTAAATATAATTTTTGATAATATGAAGCAAAATCTAACGGTACAATATTAAAAGAATATTCAACATTAAATACATTTGTTTCTTTTAGTAAGTCGAACAGTTGGCGTACAACGTTCGTTTTCCTCAAGTGAATGAGTGTCAACTTTGAAAAGAAACTTTAAATAAGTTTTAACATGTGCCGTTTCGTACAATGTTACGATCTTGTTTTTGCTTTCTTACCGTAATATCACTTTCAATTATGACATTTTAATGATAAGAACGCGCAAATCATTGTAGAAAAGGTATTATATGAAACTATTTTTAGTATAGCAATGAAAAATATGATTTGATAGCTTGTTTAGTAAAAATGGAGTATTTTAACGGGTTATGCATAAGTTTTGCAACAAATGTCGAGCGCTGTTGCTCTATGCTCCTATTGTTCTAGAGACTTTGTTTGCTTTTTGTTTGAAAGAGCAAAGTCTAAACTGCAAAAAGTGTATCAAATAAAATTTTCTCTCACCAAACTTCATTGAGAAACAATTCAAAAACTATACATCACTAAAAATAGTCTGGTTAAATTTTACTAAAGCATATCAAGAAAAGTTTTTCACTGATGTCAAAAATAATAACTTTTTCTTGAAACCAAATACACGAAAAAATAGTCCGTGAAGAATTCTATGGATCTGATCTCCTTAAGAATTTTCAAGTTACTTGTTTGTGGTTTTCTGAAACGCTTTCTGAAAGCCAGATTTTCTAAAAATGGAGATTTTGCGTGTAACAATTGGGGACTTCAGCAAAAGCGTCATAAAATAAGAAGTGAAGTTTTTGTTTTATATCAGATTGTAGAAAATTGAATGAAGATCATCTTACAGTTCAAAAACTGGAAAAAAGTTCATCTGTTAATTCAAGAATTGAAAATTAACGCTAATAAACTGATTTTCTAACGGTCCTCAAATAAACAATTATTTCTTCACAGAAACTAAATAAAAGGAAAATGTATTGCACACCATTCGAAAGAGCGTTTCAAATACTCGCAGATGTAATAATCAGTCATCTGTCAAGCTTATCCTTAAACCAGAAAGAACCCCTTCGAAAAAGATAGAGAGCGGACATTTTGACGATTTACCAGTACATTTTTAGTGATATTTAGTTTTTCAATTTTTTTCAATGAGACTTTGCGAGCGATATTTTATTTGACACGCGTTTTGTAGTTCAGACTTTGCTCTTTCAAACAAAAAGAAAGTGCAAGCTCCAGAATAGAAGGAGCATAGAGAAACAGCGTCCGACATTTGTTCCAAAACTTATGCATAACTCGTTATTACCGGTAGTTTAGGAGACGGACAAACCCATTCAAAACATTTTAACAATGAGTCAATATCTGATATTGATATTATGATACCATATGGTGAAATTGATGATGAGGATGAATTAGTTTACATTGATGTGACTCCCGATTTTGTATACATCAAACGGAATTCTGGTAAACTTGCACCATTACCAAATGCATACCCTCCTGATCAACAGTATTTATGTATAGATGGTTCCAAACTAAAACAAAAATTTGTTAATTCGCCTAGTAGTGAGCTATCTAAAGCGTTGTTTAAATCATTTTACACTGTAAAGATGGATACAACGCCTGAGTCAACTAGTGCCAAAGCTGATTATACAAATTTATCAGTTAATTTTATTATTTAATTAGTCAAGAATTTGAGAAGAGTTTAAATATAAGTTTTGATAATATGAAGCAAAATCTAACAGTACAATATGAGATGAAACAAAACTATTTGTTACTATATGAATTGCATATTAACTTGATGGGGCAATGTTCATCAATATTTTCTCGTTTCCAAAGGCAAATGATGTTAGTACAATTGAATTTAGGTAGTCTTGCATTCAATATACCTTTATCGTCTAAAGACAAAACAAAGTTAAATGCGTTGATTAATTATTTTAATCTATACAAGCATATGGGAAGTGAATTAATTTATAATAAAGCATTTGAACGTATAGGAACGTATAAACCGATTGAAAGTGATTTTGTTGTTGCATTGAAATTAAATTTTTGGCCAAGTAATATTGAGCTATTCTTAGATCGATTAAAAAAAAGTCTTTTCAATCGATCATTATTATATGAAAAACTTAAATCTACTCATATGCATTTGATACCAAAATGGTCAAAAAAAACTGATGTAAATAAACAAATATTTGAATTTTGATACTCATTTTCTGCTGTTGAAATTCTTCTTGCTGAATCAAGTTCACCAAAAGAACAGATATTGAATGGTATTGCTAGAAATATTTACTATAAATTTTTAAAAACTTATATACTGATGATAACAATGAAAATGCTATATCGTCTTATACTATTAAGACAAATGTTCCATGGTTATGTGAAACACAAAATACTTTAATTAATTCATTGAATATAAAAAACTCTGTTAGTTTTTACCTCAAAAAGTCAAGATTACCTGCAACGAATGTATGGTAAAAAATAATAAAGTATGGTGAAACTTTTTATTTACTATTCCTAAGATATCGAACACGTTCTCTAACAGGTGTTTAGGGTCGTAATGTTAGAACCTAGGAGTTCACATTTTAAGATAAAAGAAAACGTTTTCTGTACAGTAAGTGTTGATCTTGTATCGATATCATTGGCATTCCACATTAAAGCAAATGG